TGGTTGTAATGTGACAAAATATGGAAAAGTTCAAGGGGTATGAATACTTTTGCAAACCACTGTATATATATATATATAATTAATTACAATGAAGAAGCTTCGGGTGAGGCAGAATGTCAGGGTAAATAGAAGTAAGATGAAAGCATCATACCCGGAGACATGGCCTTCATATCTTTGGGAAACTTGCGGCAGATGCTATTATAATTAGTGCAGATGTGATGGAGACACCAAGCGGACAGCTGTTTGGCATTGTGGAACTGTAAAAAGAAGGAAAAAAGACCAGGGATTACTGCTGCTCTGTAAAACCAGGCAAGAAAAAAATGTTACCTCAATATCATATTGACAAATGAAGAAAAACAGTTGAAATGACACACGCATGCACTAGATGCACTTAAAATACACCTGCACACAGGCATAAAGACACACCTGTGCAAGCTCAAGATAAGCCAACACCTGTCCATCAATATCAACTCCTTTCACCGCCTGCTGAAGAAGCTCATCCACAGCATGCTGCTCTGAAGATCCACAAAATAAACAGAATCGTTTAAAGTATTGCTGTTCATATAATGACATGGACAGTTGGGTCTGCAGCATTTACTGTGTTTTACCAGTGAGGGCGACAAGGCGTGGCAAACAGAGTCGGTTGGCCAGGATAATTAGCTCCATGGGCTCCAAACCAGGACAAGGCGTCAGGAGACCACAGTACAAGAACTCAAGCACCCCGCGCATACAGGCTGTGCTGGTGCTGGGAATAGATACCTGGGAAATTTACCACAGCCGTAGAAAACGTGACAACATTAGAAACAAATTATACAGACAGACTCAAACAGTGGCATTAATAAAAACTATTGAAAAGATGTTTACAATGCATTCCATTAGTCACATTAAGGCCTACATGAGGTAAAAGTGGTCATCTAGTTCATGCTGCTTAAACCCTAATTATTTCCAAGTATCTATGACTAAAGTCAGAATCTATTAATGCACTAAATAAGCTTGCTTCCAGCTTCTAAAGCTGTAATTAGATTAGACGTATTTGCAATTTTAACACAAATGGCAATACAACAGATTCAAAATATTTTATTTATTTATTTTTAAAGAAAAAATACAGTAGAAATGTGTATTTTATCCCATACTTTTCCTGCGAAAGTCAGGCTACCCCAGCTAATATAGTATAAATCCCTTTCTTTTTTCTGTGTAACATGTGATCACAGGGTAAATGTGTGGGATATAGAGTACAATATAAATACAATATGGGCTGCTGTGTGAGTGTTTGTTAATGGGCGAATGGGAAATCTGCATCTCAAACTTGTACAGATAAAAATAAACAACCAAAATCAGAAAAAAATATGTATTTTTTAGTGCAACCAATCCATGTTCACTGTCACAAAAATAAAAAAAAGAAAAATCTACTGTAAAATATGCATGTCTAACAATATACAGTGAGCACGATAGACTTATAATTGTACTTATCCAGACTGGCCTCCCACATGAGGTAGTTAAATAAATAAAAACCCCCAGCAGAAAAAAAATACAGCTTCAATTTTGCTAAACACCAGACTAATTCATATGCAGTTGATGGGATTTAACCCCAGGAGGACAGAAGGAATGTAAATGTTTATAAGAGTGATGACCTGACCCCTCTGGGAGCTCTTTGATTCCACCCACTGTGGCACTTAACAGTCTCTGATTCTATAACCAGTTATGAAAATGTCAAATTGGTGCGATCTCTCATTACTTTTATTTTTTTTTTAAGACATAACATCAGTCTTTAGAGCTTAAATCTTCAACAACACACGGAGTAGGCAACACGTTTATGGATATAACCTGTAATTAATACAATATGTTACAATTAAATACAAAAATGTAAAAGCAACCATCTCAAGGTTTAATATTGATAGGTATTGTGTTTTACTCTCAATCTGCTGTGACACTTAACAGGCCTTCCAATTTGATGAGCTAAAGTACTTTTCTCAGTATGTTCACACAGTGACCAAGAAACCACTGATACACACTAGTTAGTAATTTAGGAGTGTAACATCACACACTTCGTGTTCAGTTTGTTTGGCTGCCTACTCAGACAGTAAACATCAGAACATTTGTTTTTATTTAGTTGTAATTAATAAAACATCCAACTGTAAATAATGGTCCATGTAACACTAAAAGCAGAAATGCTACTAAATTGGTTCCATACATAGAACCTGTTCTTTACAAGATTAGAACAGCCCCTGTTGAGATGTGTGAGCAGAAAAAAATACTGAGAAGTGACAGTGACATGAGTAGAAAACAGAACAATCCCGTGCAACTCTAAGAAGTTTAGATTTGTTTTTAACAAGATTTATTAAAACTTAATGGATGCAAAAATAAATAAATTTCTTGAGTCCACTGGTTGATTATCAGTAAAATCTATCAACAGATACCTATTTTTCAATGTGAACATCCACTTAAAAATTGTATATCTACATCAGCAGCTTTTAATATTGTTTACAACGAATAAACCTCAGCTGACTAGAGAAATAAGCATTTTCTAGGAAAAAATGTAATTTTCTTTAAGTCAATTGTTTTGTTCCCTCCTTAAAGAGTGTAATTTAGTCATGCAAAAAGATTTTGCTTCAACAAAACTAACTGATAAAATCATTTTCAAAGACAGCAAAGAACTTGGTTGCTTGCTGGTAAAATGTGTCATCGTCTGTGCTAATTAGCTCTAAAAAAGCTTTGCAACATGAATATGGAAATGCATTAACATGCAATTAAAAAATAAAGCACTTTCATAAATATAAATATTGACAGCTGCATTGTGTAGTTGTTCTTTGAGCTTAATGTCTTCAAAGGACCAGCTTTTTATCAGCAGCATGCATTAAAAATTACACAATAGTTCGCATGAACTGTTAGAGTAGCCATTGAAAACAGCAACCAATCATTGGTGAATATTGCGACCCCACATCCGCCCCTACTCCAGTCACTAATTAATTCATCCTCAGCTACAACTAGCTGAGTCGAACTTTTGCACAGCATTTTAAAGTGTGTTGTAACACAAAAACCATGTAGAAATCTAAATGTAGAACTATATAAAATATTCATTAGCTTTTTAGCAGCATGCCTTCATAACATAGAATGTTTGAATGAAATGTATTATTAGTTTTATTTTTTTTTTGATGCAGGTAATTTCCAGGCAGCTGATAAACTGAATTATAAAGTGCCTGTGACATAATTTTTAGTGATAACTACAAATGCATCATTGAAAAGGTAACATTAACACATTGTAAAAGAAAATAAAGCATCCACGCTTTTGAGATAAACAGCGGTTTAGGTATTTGCATGTGGTGACAGGAGGTAATAACAAAGAACATTTATATGTAAAGAGAGCATTGCTACAGTGGCTAACAGCACAAACAGTGGCAAATAACCTCTGATGTTTCTTTAAATTATTTTGAGTCACTAGAGACTGAGAAGAGTCAGAGTATGTATATAAAAAAAGACCAGGGAGTTCCCCTTTAAAAATATTTCCTTTTTTATCACTTCCTGATTCACTTTAGCAGTGCAAAGTAAAAAAAAAAAAGTGTATTATGTAATTTTTTTTAACATTTTGATGTTTCCTTGTATTTTTTTTTCTATTTGTAGGAAATTCGTGTTATAGGCTGTGTAAAAAGATGGTTCAGACTTTTAGAAAAATAATATGTGGCATTGTTATCAGCCATCAGTATTTTACTTACAGTAGACAGTGGTCAGTTTGAAACATTACCCAGCCTTTAAGTGGGAAAAGAAAATAGATAGAGGGTAACAACTCCAAAGAACCTCGTTTCAAAAAATTTGAACTACCCCTGCAATCATTTTAATCAGCATGCTTTAGAAAAAAGCTACATAGGTCTGATTTTGAAACAGAAGCTGTGGTGCATCATCTTAAAGACAGCCTTTAACTTCCTGTGTGGTTCTGTCAAGAACAGAATACGTGACGCATGTAACTAAGTGTTTGGGTAGAGCATACCTAAAGTAATTAGACCCCACACGAGAGAAACAATAATCTTGACAGTGAAATGCTTTGTTTTTCAAAAATTATAGTTTGTGAAACATCCTCATTAGGCTTTTACATGTTGGAGACATTAACAGTGTCTCAAGTGTGTCTAATCAGATCTCTCTTTAATAATCCAGCAATTTCATACTTAACAAAAAAAGTTAAATGGTAGCAAAACACCAAACTGTAAAAGCCTTTATTGTATTACTCAATAAACACAACCTGTGATCTATACCAGTTTGAAATGGACAGCCTTCAACATCAACAGGAAGTACTTCTCAGCTTGTGTGTGTGGGCACACTTTTGTTACATCGTGGGGACCATTTTCCAGAAAAAAGGCAGCCTCATGAGGACCAAATGTGCATTGTGGGGACCAATGCCAGGTCCACACAGATGCTAATTTCGGGTGTGAGGTTTAGTTTAGGACCAAGGTGTGAATTGAGTTTAATTTTAGGGTAAATGGTCAGGGTTAGGTTATTTTAGATTTAACTGCTGCCTTTGATACAGTTGATCACAGCATCCTTTTATCCAGACTTGAACATGTTGTTGGTCTTGAAGGCTCAGTTTTAACATGGTTCAGGTCATATATGGCTGACAGGTCTTTTTCCGTTTCTATGGGGAAATACTCTTCTTCATCTACTCCGATTTGCTGTGGTGTACCTCAAGGTTCTGTTTTAGGATCTATTATTTTTTGTTTGTACATGCTGCCATTGGGATCAATTTTTTAAAAGCACAAAATATCTTTCCATTTTTATGCTGATGACTTTCAAGTTTATTATCCTTTTTATTCAAATGTCTCTGCCCCTCTGCAGCCCCTTTTAAATTTTCTCCAGGACGTCAAAGGCTGGTAATCCCAGAATTGTCTGACTTTGAATGAAGACAAAACTGAAGTTATTTTATTTGGCAATTATCCTCCTCTTGATGGATTACCTAGTTTTCTTGGCCCACTTGCTTCCTATTGCTCATGTGGTCAAGGATCTTGGAGTGTTTATAGACAGCGCTTCTAAATTTGAGAAACAAATATCTTCAGTTGTTAAAACCAGTTTTTATCAGCTCCGTCTAATTGCCAAAGCAAAATCTTACATTCCCCACAAAGACCTTGAAACTCTTATCCATGCTTTTATTACATCTAGACTGGACTATTGCAGCTCTTTATTTGTTGGTTTGGAACAATCCTCTGTCCATCGCTTGCAGTTAGTCCAGAACGCTGCTGCACATCTTTTAACAGGTTCTAGAAGGCAGGACCACATCACTCCTGTTTTATCCGACTTGCACTGGCTGCCTGTTAAATTTCGTATTAATTTTAAGATTCTTTTACTTACATTTAAAGTTTTAAATGGTCTGGCACCCAGTTATTTATTTATCTGTTGCACTTTTATACCCCAAATAGAGAAGTGTGATCTTCTAATCAGATGCTTTTAGTGCAGCCAAAGGCAAAACTAAAGCGTAAAGGGGAACGAGCTTTTGCTGTGGAGGCCCCCAGACTCTGGAACAACTTTCCTCTTGAGATCCGTCCTGCAGAGTCTGTTCAGTCTTTTAAATCTGGCTTAAAAACTCACTTTTTTACACTGGCTTTTAACTCAAGTTCAGTTCGAGCTACCTCAGGAATTTGTAATTTGTGTCTTTTTATTTGTTTTTAGCTTATTGTATGTTTTATTGTATTGTGTCTGTGAAGCACTTTGGTCAACACTGTTGTTTTTAAATGTGATATATAAATAAAGTGATGATGATGATAAAATTACCAGAAAATGAATGGAAGTCAATCCACGGTCCCCACGGGGATATAAATATAAACCTGTGTGTGAACTCACATGACTCAACTTGTATTTGACATTCTGCCGGTATAAAAGTGTACATAGAATAGTCACGAGTGGGGTTAGGGCAGTTTACTAGGAAATGAAATATTTGGACAGAGTTTTATGCAAGTGCCTTCTGTTAGCTTCTGATAAGTGTCAAAGGTACTCAGGAGTCAGGAGTCAAGTGATTACAGACGTTCAACCACATCAGCAAGTGAAACAAAGGTTTGTAGGTCAACCTGATAAAAGAGCCAATCATCTTACAGTAATGTATATGTGATGTAATGTACACTGTATCCTTTCAGCAAAGTGTCGCCAAATTGATAAACCTTATCCTGGCGACTGGTGTACCTTTACCCCATTCTTCTACTTTTATCAGTTTACAAGCTAATTGCATGTGTGAGACTGTGCTGCTGCTGCTGAGGCAATTCTAAGTTTCCTGTTTGAATTTCCAAGATTTAGGACGCCGATAATTGACCCCCTTCTAAAATCTTAAAGGTAATTCCATCCAGTTTAAGTGAACTCACCTCATCAACGTAACTTTCCAGGAAAGAGCCACGGAACATGGCGGCCATCCAGTCACAGCTTGAAATGAGCAGGGGCTTGTGGGCCGGGAGGCTGCCGTCATCCAGGCGGAACACCACATCTAAAACCGGGGTGGGAAAAGAGCGTTCATCCCTTTTGGAAAGCCACAGAAGCCCAAGCTACAGAGAGGGGAACGACAGACGAGGCAGACACACGCACGGGTAGACAAAGGGCCAGACAAACACAGAGGGACATGGACACAGGTAGACAGACAGAAAGATAAATTGACACAGAAACAGAAAAGCCTTTGGCTTAGAGCAGGGGAAGGAAAGCGGATGCGAGATAGTAGGTCATAGACCAAATGCCACATAAGCTAGAGCTTCTTTCAGGAAGGTGGAGTGATAGAATAAAAAAGGTATATTATGGTGAACTGACAGTCTTTGCTACATTTAAAAGCAAGGACATTCTCTATTCAGGTAAGGTAAAGCAAACATGTTAGTGAATGAAGTGAACTTATGAAAACATGTCAAAATAAAGAATGTGGCCATCAATATAAAACATAAGAAGAAACGACAGACAAAAGAGATTATAAGATTACATTCAGAAACAATGTAAATCTTGACCATCAGTACTGTCGCAACATGTAACAACCACCACCAGTGGGGCAGGAAACAGCACACAAACACAAGACAATATAGGTGACAGGGCACACATAAAAAACAAGTAGACTAAGAAAATCAGTCATCAAACCAAATGAAAAATCTTAAAAGAACCTCCTCAATCAGATATTTATGACACAAAAAGTACAATTTAGTCGACGATGAACCATGATCAAATGTACGGAAAGTACATTTTTGGTCTGAAAGAGAGAAAATCCTGCTTATGTCATAATGTCATAATTTCTCCTTATCAACCTACAAGGATTTTTACTCACACGTACAGTACATTTACAAAACATGCACACGATAGCCTATGCCTGGGGAAGCACGAATGAAAAACAACTAAACTGATACCAGTGTTGTGGAAAGAACTGCGTTATTTGGCATTGCGGTTTACCAGCAAAAGTCCCTTTATTGAGGCTCTCTTTGATGCGGTTGGCTCTGCGGACATGGAAGGCCTTGGTGATCTCCTGGTTCATGAAGCTCTCCCTGTTTAGAACATTTGCCACCATCATCCGTAGGTCAAACACCTCAAGCAGCTCAGCGATGGTGGCCACCTGCATCAGATCACTTCGACTCTCATCCAGACTGCCTGTGTACAAGTACTGAAGCACCGCCTAAAAATCACAGCAAACAAGAGATCAAATACACACATTCAGATGACAATTAAAGATACAAATGTCATTAAACACTATCACCTTAAATGGTTCCTCTTGTATAAGTGGATCCATGGCTACTACTGTCATGAGTCGAGGTCGTCCAGTCATGGGATCATCCACATGCTCCAGACACACACTTAGGAATCCCCTTCCCCATCCAGACAGTGCTCGACCCGTCCCTAGTGCTCCCAATGAGTACTGAGCTCGAGAAGGAAGCGCATTGTCACTTTGGGAAGTCCTCAAAGACCCCTGCTGGAGCAGCTGGGGTCGATTCAAGCCCCTCACGCCTCCATCTACCCCGTCCTTATCAATATCCAAGCTCTTAGTGCGCCCAGCTTGCTCTTTTGCTCCTCTCCTGCTCTGCTCATCCTCTTCCCCACTTTCCACATGTTCCTTCCTGTCCTGTTCCACTCCTCGCTGCCCTGTACACAACCCACCTAGATCAAGGGTGAAAAGGTCATAGAACTTGGAGCACGACGTAGCCAGATAGACCTTGTGTGCAAAAACCCGGGAGGAGCCACCTTGCAGAAGAAAAAGAACATCTGCACAAAGACGGTGACAGAAAAGTGAGTCAGGACCTTCACCGTCTGTGAGAGGTGGGTCTGGGATGCCCACGATGGGGCGCGGTGGGCGGGGAGGCAGGAAGGGCGCCTGGAGAAGGGGTCTCTGGACCTTTTTAAGGTGCGACTTCCAGAACTGCAGATGTCGTCTAGAGATGAGGGCTGCACGGATTGCGTTGTCAAAAACGTCTTTGACTCCAAACTGGGCAACGATACTGGTTTCATAGTAGGGAATACCAAGTTCTTTTGCCACCTCGTGACCTCTCTCTGGAGGAAGAATATCAGTCGGTTTGATGGGCCTGTAGGTCAGAAAGAGACAAGGATGTTTATGATGCCAAAACTCAGATATGACACTATAACTGGGAGTTCAAGGAAACAGGGAAAATGGGAAGTAAGTCACTACATATTCTACATATCTACATATTTTATTATTTGTTATTTGCAAAAATTCAGTAACTGCAGGCAACAGATCAAGAAGTGACTTGCAAAATATACAAAAATGTAATAAAATAATCTTTTTTATAAGGAAGAAGTTACTTTTATGTAACTGTTCCTGGCTACTAATTAACCAGGCAAAGTACGTGTAATTCTCAATGAAGCTACATTACTGCAGGAGCCATCTCAGCATGTCTGTTAATGCTTGGAGGAAGTCATCTCACTTTGCTAACGGTCGACGTGCACGGTTAACTGCATCCAGGTCAGCGTAGCGCAGATCCAGCTGGCAGCCAACCAGGATGATGGGTGTTCGAGGACAGAAGTGCTTGATCTCCGGAAACCACATGGTGCGAACATGGCGCAGGGAATTGGGATTAGCCAGAGAAAAGCACAGGACTACAACATCAGACCTAAAGAGAAAGAGAAGAATGGTATTTTTTATTATTATTATATGTGCTAAAATTTAAAAAGACGCAACAGAAAGGACAAAAACAAGCAGATGAGAGATGATTTAATTTGTCATGTGTGGACATCGTCAGTCAAGAGATAAAATGTAGCTTTTGACAGACTTATGACAACCCAAAAATTAAAAAAAAGGTTCAGTGCTGACTCATTGAGCATGTTGTCAGTTTATATTAAAAAATGTGCATTTGTGTGTACAGAAAAAGACTGTTCAGTTTCTGCAAGGTGTTCTGGGAACACAGACGGCACTGATGTAAAAACTATATTTTTACAGGGGGCTGAGTCACAAGACGTGTGTGTACAAGTCTGGACCTCTGGGCTGATTATTTGCCTGGTGTATGCATCTTTTTTCATCTCATAATCTTCAGATTCCCTGGAAGGCAACAGACAACAAAGAGAGGGCCATGAATAGCTCAAGACTCACACACATATTCATCTGATGTGTCTGAACAAGCAAACAGCTGCTCACTGTTATCAGTGTTTCACTAACAAGTTGTTGCTTGTGACTGTGCAATTCTAGGTATTGTTTGATTTATCTCTTTAGTTTTGCTGAAGTGCCAAAAAAATTATCCATCCTAAATCTTCCACCTCTGCAACAATAAAATAACACAGGGCTTTTAACTTTAGAAGCAAACGACTACTCAGACTTATGTAACTCGTGTGCTACATTAATCATCATCAATAGCTTACAGACATGGTACGGCAATACTCCAGTTATTATATTTGTCAGGCGTGTGGCACACAACAGAAGGTTTAAGGTAATGAATACCTGAAATTGACAGAAGCTTTATGCCCCTCTTCAATGTGCCCCTTTAGCAAAACAGTCTTGCTGTAATGCTTTTCTATTCTATTTAATAAATAAGACAGAAGCTGCACTGTAAAAAAGGAAGAAGAGTCAAAAATGAACTTGTCTAAACACAAAATGAAGTGTAACTTAGTACTCAAAGTTTACTTTTGAGAAAAAACTTTGTTGAAATACTCCAGTATCATGCAAAACCCTTTTGCTTTACTTTTTTTTTTCTTGTGTAGATGTAGAGTTTTTGGTCCTTTTTACTTATATTACAGGGATATCAGAAAAGCTTTTACCCTGAAGTACATACTACTGTATACAACAACCTGAAATTGCATCACAGCACACACGTACACACAAACTGGAATTAGCAATTTGTCAAGGCATCATTATCAAGGCTTAGTGTGCATGAACTCAAATTACTTGAAGGCTTTAGTTCACATGGTTAAAGGATTGTTTTTACAACTGAGGCCAATGTTGGACATGAACTTATGAGGGTGAAGCAACATATATTTTCTGAAAAGCACTGTGTGTCAAAACAAACAGTGAAAATAAAATTGTTCTAATACTCCAACTATGCATTAGCATCCCTATTACATGAAACTGCATCTGCTTCACATTAATTAGTACTACTAGCTGAATTCCTACTCATACTGTACATTGAGAAAGCATACACTCATCTATGATGACAACTGATGAAATCTAGCATTTTTTTTTTCTTTTTTCTAAGGCAGGCAGGTAAGTGTGAAGTACGGTATATGGAGAAGTGTTTTTGAGCCACTCTAAATCTGGTTATTTCACCTGATTACTGTTTTTTAAAAAATGGTGCAACAATCAATGTTTTTTAAGACTCCAACATTTTTTTGTTGCCATAACTGACTGTATACACCACAATCCACTGATGCAAATCTACAATGGGCAACACATTGCTTAAAGCGGACCCTTTTTAGGTGCTACCCCATTGAGATAAAAATAGGTGAGGTGCAAACAGGTTTTTTACTTTAATTTCTAGGGTTTTGACGGGCTCCAGTGCTGCTTCATTAGGGCTCCAACCCAAGGCTTTCAAGCTACAAAATCCTCTTAGACCAGACATGGCTAACTGTGGGTTGAAGAAACAAAAATGTGAAAAGCAGAGTTCAGGTCTGTATTGAAAAGCACCTACTGGCTGCTTAAGAATGAAGACTGGCAGGAAACCAACTTACAATGCTTGAGACTGCAATGCAGTTTGGAAAATGCTGCAGGAAATGAATGGCGTGTGCAGTTTATCCAAGGATACCCAACTCTGCTTATTTATTGCTTGTGTAGAAGATACTGAACAAAGGCAGATTCTCAGTTTCTGCCATGATGAAGTTGTACTTGTTAAATAGTAACAGAACAAACATAAGTGCATACAAAACGTGGATGTGCAGGTTCATGCTACTTTAAGTGACAGCCAAATTAATTAATTGATTTTCATTGGATTCAGGTGGTTATTCTTCTGTAAATTTTTATTGTTTCATTTTCCATTAACCTGGTCCGCAAATAATCCATCTTGTTAGCAACATATCAAAAATCTACACAAAACTAACAAGAAACCATCAGTACCTGAAATATGCTAACCAAAGCTACATACTGGCAATGTACTCAAATCTGTGCTAACTGCATAGCTTCCTATGTGGCCATTTCAGATTTACTGTTTATGTATATTATGTTAAGTTTTAAAACATATTGTATCTATGTGTACTTTTTTCAATGCCACATCGTTTTTTCCTTCCAAAATTTTACCTACCTCAAAATGCTTGCATTTAAACATCTTTACAATGCTTGTCATGTAAAAACTAGCCATACATATGTGATATTCAAAAAGAAAAAGAAAAAAACTAAGGCCAATGCTTTGTTTGCTTGTTTGGATGATAACATGCATGAATGTTTTGTTTGTTGTGAAGAAATGCATAGCTGCACACTTTTCATTCAATTATGAGCTATTATATAACACATTCAACTACATGTTTTATACATTTATAACTTTGTTTTTAATTAGTTGTTACTGTAGGCCCATGTGCACATCATTCCAAATCACTGGTATGCAATTTTAGTTATTCCTGTGCATTGTACTGTAACTGAATGCAGGCAGAGACTGACTGGGAGCACGTCTACATCAATGCAGGCAGACCCAGATTAAGTTTAGCTTAGCCTTTTTTTCCATCATTCTTTTTTTTTCCAAAACAGATTGTTCCTCTTCTAAGTGGGCATGTGACAATTTGACTCCAAGTTTGGAGTTTTGACATCAACAACAGCCTACATGTAGTCAGGCATTAGAAGAGGAGCAGAGAAGCGACATGCCAAAAGGGAATGGAGGGTAATATGTTTGTGAGGGGAACTGCGAGATGAGGTACAGTATAGGAGAGGATGAAAACAAAAGCTCAGACAAATGAGCAAACGTACAGAGCTGGAAGGGCAAGAGCTCGGGTACGAGAGGCGTTTTGACGCCTGGAGCTGGTAACACTGGCATGCAGGCCGAAAACGGCTGAGCTGGCACTGTGTCTTTATCAGCTGACTGCAGGCTCACAGAGTGGATAGCCCACACGCACACAAAGAGGAGGAGATCACTGGGCAAACTCACAGACATCTACAGTAGATGGAGGGTAAACACAACAGAGGGGTGGAAATTTGAGCAGCAAACAAAACCACATGCAGCTGGCAAGTACATAACTGCAGTCAGTCATGCACGTATGGTTTGCATAAAGGGGACAAGGTGACATGTTACACAAAGTGCCTTCAACCAACCTTGACAGGCTGAACAGTCTAATGAATACACCCATCACATGCATATGTGTGGGAATTTTTGTGAAGTTTCCATACAAACTAATGATTAGATATGGCAATTAAGCGAAATAAAAGACCAAAACCATCATTTGTGCATTCAGTAATCCACAGAAAAAGGAATCAGTTCAAATATTATGCCTAATAAAGCGATCTTAAATGTCATTTGAAACTTATCTGTTGTTGTATTTACAGTGATTTTTAAGTCCTGTGGTCTATTTTGGTCACACTAATGTGGATTTCTGATTGTGCTTCAGCATTAAGCATTTTTTTCAGAGTAATTTCATACAGATAAGGCAACTTTGACAAAAGTGGACAGAGCGATGATCCAATCATTACAGGTGTAGTGACTGCTGATGTAATAGCTCAAAGAGCAAAAATAAAATGAAATGAACCTGCAAATAGATTACACAAAAACAATTTGTGGATAAGTGCAAAGTTGTTCAAGCAGTTTTGACTCATTAGTTACAGTCTTATTGTGAGATGTAATAAGATTTCATTCTTAGACCCACCAGCAATTATTTTAGTATTACCAGAGAACTGTGCCAGTGTTTTAATGCCAGGCTGAACCAGATGTAAAAATAGAATGTGTTTCAAGGTAGTTACCAATGTGATTAGCCAGTCCGCAAATGTGTTATTGGGTCAGTAACTAAATTCTGGCTGCGAGACTAAGACCGAACGTGTGCGTGTGTGTTCATATGTATGCGTTCTTACCTGCCATAGGCAAATCGCCTGTCCTTGTGATGATCCCCGAATGTGTCCCATAGCCTCAGGGACACACTGACCTCATCTACTACATCACGGGATCTCTCCAACACCTGCAACACAGGTCAGTTTTCACAGATTTCAAGGATTAACCGGATTTAAAAAAAAGGACATGCACAATGTCAAACTCTAGCTTTTATTGTTTTGTAATAAACTGTTTTACCTTACAAAACATTTGAATATTCGAGGCTTTTTTTACAGTGTTACTGCATGTGTGTGTGTGTGTGTGTGTGTGTGTGTGTGTGTGTGTGTGTGTGTGTGTGTGTGTGTGTGTGTGTGTGTGTGTGTGTACCCACCTCCTGGCATACACGGTACTGGTCGATGGCCCAGACGGTTGGCACGTGGGTGGCAAGCAGCTGATACTGAGTGAGTGTGGCATTGCAGGCCCGGGCACAGATTAGCCTGGTCTTACCTACAGCATTATCCCCCACCACCACACATTTAATGGTTTCCACATTGGGCCGCTCATAGTCTGTGTCTATATCCATGGAGAGGGCCCTGGAAAACACGAAGGAGGGGGTAGAGTTGAGAGAAAAGAAAACAGGTTAATTAAACATTTGCTAAGAAAAACAGAATCACTCTGGGTAAAGTATTGCAGACGGGCTGACACTGTATTTTGAAAATGAACATGACTGTCATCGGTGGCTTCTGAATCTCACCCAGTACAAGCTAAGGGAATGCATTTGTTGAGGCTCAAAGCCCCCGTGGCTGCAGGTACTTCTGCCAAGCCCCTCAGCAGAGCACATGGGTTACACTCACTGGCAGAGGAAGACAAACCAGAGCTATTCTTGTAACAAGACAAAGAGAACAGACAAAAAGAGATTTCTCTTGAGGTCAGTGTCCTTAGCTCCACTTGCCCACTAAACAGTCAGTCTGCCACCCTGACGCACTGAGGACAGTTGTCCTTATGATGTAACAAAATGAAAAATGATCAAATTATATAACTTGCCATCACAAAAAATATAATTTTAATTATCTTGCAGCAAATAGTTGCACTGTTGACCATTTATCAGCTCCAACCTTTACGTCTGAACAAAGGCTGTTTCGCACAACTGAACACACTTTAATTTTTTTTAAATCCCAAAAAAGCAGCAACAATCCTGCCAAAATCCTTGCAACCTAAAAAAACAAACAAAGATTTCCGACAAGTCCAGACGCGTTCATAAAACCTATTTTAAAACATTCCTAAGAAAATCTGATTCACTGCCCAACCGTTGGCCTACAAACAAAGCTGCAGTCAACTTAATCAGTCCATCCGTCAATGCGATTTGTTCCAAAAGCCACAGTGGGGGCCCCATAAATAGAGCATCTGAAACATTCATAAAGGCCTTCACTTGTTATTCCACTGACGTGGATGCCGGCGCAACACTTCAGTCCAGCAGTGACAGACACCCTCAGCTAAAAATGGCAATTATTCATCAGTCACACAAGCCTAGTGCGCAAACTTGCTATGCAGTCCTGATCTTAGATCCACGAGTACCTTCGCCCTTTCTGGAACAAAATCACCATTGCTTTTTAACTCAAATGCCTAAAGACATTACTTTTCTTTTGAAAGGGAGTCAAATTACATCCTCTGGGAAGTGCAGCACAGACAAGCTCACCTATCTGAGACGGAGGAAAGGAGTCAGTCAAAGGTGCTGTTTGAACATGACTTTCAGAGCTATAAATATCCCTTTCCCACCTGTGTGTCTGTGACACCTTTGGAGGCACGTACTAGAGGCAGACAAGAGACAGAAGAGCTAATAAAAGAGGGATCGTGCAACCTTGCTGTTACCTAATGAATGTTGACAGCAGCTGCCAAAGTGCCACTTTTCTTGGCGTTATGAGAAAAGAGCGATGAAGGGCCAATTGAGTAACCTGTAATACTACAAGTGGTCTTGAGCTGTTGGAGAAATGTTCCAAAGGACATATGGGAGTGGGGAACAAATAAATAAAAATGGACTAGCTGCGGCAGACAGTAAGAATCAGGATGTTTACAACAACTGTTTCTTATGCAACTGCTGATAAGCAGAGAGAATTGCAAGGAAAAAAAGATAGAGAGGGCAATTATTGGTCTTAAAGAGAAGGACCAACACAACAATCACTCATCTGTGCCAAAGAGAAGCAAAAGAGTAAAACCAGCAATAACCAAAGCTGCAAAGGGACAGAAATCATAGCTTTTTTTGCTGATACGCTCTCTGTCAGTACAGTGTGCAATTCTCTAAGAGAGAAAGACAAATGAAGCAAAAGTCAGAGGACAGACTAGAATGAAGATTATAATTCTTTTCTACCACAGTCTGGTGCATGCATGTGTGTTTGTGTGTCTGCATTAATGAGCTTAGAGCCATACATGCAGAAATGATACCAGAACGAGGTGTCGAGGTGGTGATGTGGTCAACTTCTCAAGAGGGGTACCCAGTTTCAGGCCATCATTCCCCATCTGGGGTTGCATCAACACAACACATTTGACGCATCACTGCACTCAACATATATGCACCTGCTCTGCAGATTTACTCTCAAACAGCATGGACAACTTTACTTTAAACAATTTCACCACAAGAGCAGTGGCTGAACACAGTGTTAGCAGAGAAGTGAACCTCACAGGAGCAGCAAAAAAAGTCTCAAAGATCAGGTTTCTTTTGTAGTCAACGACCTATCGTGACCTGCTTATAAGCCGTCTAGACTTCATCTGTTGGCTGGCCCCAATAAAGAGCTGAACCAGTTTGAAAGTACAAAGCAGTAACGATGAACTTCGTGTGAAAGAAACCAAGAATCTTTTTGTTTATGTTCTCGGTAACTTCTGTGCAAGCATAATTTAATATGTCAAATCAAGACATAAACTCAACCTGTGTTGTTTTATTTTATGGTTTGTCACAGATTTACTGCAGAGTGATTGTGACTGACTACAGCATAGAGAATCATGCATAACGTGTGTCACAGTGCAGCATTGCTTCAAGGCCAGACACTTTTTAATAGGAAGATGCAAAGTTTATATAAGATCGTCTTTTTTTTTTTTTTTTTTTTTTTTTTTTGGCAAACATTGGTTATTTTCTGTTCATTTACCACTACGGTTGTGTAGGAGTTTTGGATTTGTTCCCAGCAGAACACACTCATTTTATTTATCGTCTTCTTCATCATCTACCTTTAGTGTCTCATTACTCTCATACTCATTTCCTAGCTGTCTATGACTTTAGATTCTCCAAAACAAAGGCGCAACATTAAGTAAACATTCATCCCACAACCTCTCTCTCATCTCCCCCTCCTCTTTTTTTTTTGTTACATAACAACTTTGGTGATCCACTGTCAGAAATCACTCATCCCTAAACCCTTCATGAGCTGTTGTTTGTCTGCTTCTTTTAGGGTTAAAGATCAGACCTCTCCATCTCAACATCCAACCTTGATTTATTTAATTTAAAAAAAACGTCAATAACCAACTAATTTATGCATGCAGTTCAAAAGATAAAACAATGGGCACGTCTAATTTTGGTGAAGCAACTTTTTGTTTTAAGTTCATCCTCTTAGATAAGAAGATGACTCCTCGTCTAAATGTTGCTCCTCGGGTACTGTATGTGTGGTTCTGTGTGTGTGTGTGGTTGTGGGACTGTGTGCCTGGTGTGTATGTGTGTGAGACACTGACTGCCACAGGCACAGCTGGCACAGACGGGTTACATAACCTGGTTTGTAGCTGCTGCTGCTGTGGATGGCTGACAGTAGACCTCAGACTCTCTCTCTCTCACACACACACACACACACACACACACACACACACACACACACACACACACACACACACACACACACACACACACACTACACACACTACACATTCCTGCACCCTGCTACAAATGCTGCTGGTTTTAATGCGCATCCCATAGCAGACATCTATATTCTAGTGAACTGATATGGCTGGCAGCTGCATGACAGCCAAGTTAGAAAAAAAACTTGTTTTCCTTCCTTCCTTAGCTTCAATAAAGCTTTGTAAACACAGACAAGCTCCTCTTGGTGCCCTCATTTCCTTCCACCATCCACATGATCATAATCTTCCTCCTCTTTGTCCTCCTTCTTCCTGTCCATATTTTCCACCTACTCTTTCCTCTCATCTTTCTCACTATATTAACTTCTTTAGCTTTTTTTTTTCATTTCACACCCTTTCACTTTGTAGCATCAATTTTATTTTACATAATACAATCGCTTTTTTACGTTTTCATACATTTGCGCAATTTCACCCCACCCCCCACCCCAAAAAAAAAAAAAAGGACTGTGGAAGTTAAAAAGAGAGCTTTTGGTTTAGTTAAAAACCACTTTGCCAAGACATAGATGCAGTCACTGAAACAAAGTCACTGACATGAAGAAGTAAGATTTTATCTTGAGGGAATTTAATTCAGACCTGTGAACATACTGTATATCATTATGGTTTAAGTCTGCCTCAATGCATTTTTTTTAAATATGTGAAACTAAGTGTATGTTTACAAAGAAATTCAGATACATTTCTGGTAATTTTCCATTTGGGAAGTTAAGCCGTAGAACTTTGGAAGAATCCCAAATTGAACATTTTCTATTGGAATTAGGGGAATTTATGAGAAATAACTGGAACCTGGGGTAAATTAAACAAACTATTATATCCAAGAAAATATAAACATTTTATATGCAGATAGTGACAGATCATGAGTTGAACATAAGGTTTATGTAGGTAACCAATTTAATTTTTGCAACCCCAGTTTAAAGTGAATGCAACACTATTTGAGCCTCTTGGGAACGTAAATTCTTTTCACCTTTACTTACAGTACTTAGGACAGATATTGGGACATTTTACCTCAAAACTCAAAATCATCATCATCAAACCCTAACTCAGCAGTCACCCAGGTGCTGCACATTTTTTAGAAGCTCAAATTCCTACCTTCTATGACATAACATGCTGTGCTCAAAGCAAAAACAACAACAAACACACAAAAAAGCATACATACAATTTCAAGCTCTATTACCTTTGTGTTTCTTCCACTGCAGCCTGTTAGAGGGGTCAAAACAGTCAAGCCAGCCACATAATGCAGGTTCACTCTTCCATGTGGTTTTGTGAGTACTGCACATTGTTATCTCAAAGCTGCTGACACACACACACACACACACACACACACACACACACACACACACACACACACAC